GATGTCTCCATATGTGCGAGCGCTAAATCATAACACTACGACGATGTATAAATATATACACTCATGAACGTTTATTTGGGTTTCGTTACGTTGTTAATATATGCGTAAAAAATACATATACATAGGTATAGATATAAGTATATAAATATGTATTTTATGTATGCGGGCTTTTAGTATTAAATATGTGTGTGTGTATGTGTGTATATATTCGTTTGTACCTAAGCAGTGCGTGTGTGCTTATTATTTGTAACAACAAAAATTAAGTTCTCTCACCTTAGATTATGCAGTATCTTTTAATCAACTTGTTCTTAATTTATCATCCTTCTTAAATTTCGTAATAAACTTACTGGAATGAAAATTGTAGAATAAGTGAATAATTTCTGCAGCGCTATAAATGTTTTAAAACGCAAAAACACAGTGTGTATGAATGAGTATATTATATACTTTAAGGTTAATCGAGTTAGTCTGTTTTGTTATTTATATAGTACATTGGATATATACATGAGTTTTGCGTAGTCAAATGTGGATGCGCTTATCTGGCAGAAGACGTGTTTACGACCGGTTGGTCGAAATGACCTCAATCACGTGATGTCTTCATTTCCGGTTTTATTTGATGAGAGTCCTTGTCCAATGTTAAGTTTGTTGGCTCGGCTTCGACAGACTACCGTATGTGCGTGTCAATAATAATCTGAATGTGTGTGTGTACGTGTGTGTGTGTGGGTCTGTGTGTGTTTGTGTGTGTGTGTGTTGCTTTATGAGGTCATTCTGCCATAATGATAGTTGTTGCAGGATCAGTTTCGGTTTCGCAAAAATCGACCATTCAACATTTCTTTTTATAGGAGGGTGTAGATGTGGTATAAGAAGGAATAAAAATAAAGTATGGAGAACGAGCATAGTAATGTCTTCAGACTGAATTAAGTTTGAATTAAACAAAACCGTAGACACGCACGCACACACAAACACACACACACACATACATACACACACATAATTTTGTTAAGTATTAGTTTCTACATCTCATCCGACAACGCGTAGACTAAAAATTGTACAGAATAAATGTAAGAAAGTCTCTTTAGTAATTCAATTCAGTTAGAAAAATTACGTTTACCAGAAAAATTATCCCAGCAACAGAATGTGACGCAATAAAAAGTTTGTTGTTGGACAACACGAGTACCTTTGCTCGATTCATTATCTTTTAAGATGACGTTTAAATGACGTCATATCTTCATCTCCTACTACATGCTGGCTTGGCTTGTCCGTGTCTTCATTATTTGCTGTTGTTGCATTTGTTTACAGCCTATATATGTATAATTGTATAAACATAAAAATAGCGTTTGTACACACTTCTTATTTATGTTATTTATATATTTTAAATAAATTTTAATTCTATTATAAATTTTAAGATAGGGTGCAAACATCAAAGTTTTTGGGATAAACATTTAACCAAACTGGTCCAATCATGAAATATTTTTAAGAGTTTATTGTTAAAATTTGATATTATTTTTAGATTTTCATGTACCACAGTCCCCTGAAGAAGTCTACATTTGCATCCAAACAAAAAAAAACAGTAGCGTTCCGATAGATTTTAGCATCTGTGTTTCTTTGAAATGTTTCACACTAATGTTGTTAGTTTTGGGATAATTGATTTTTCATTTTTTCATTTTCATTCATCTGGTCTGCCAGCAACTTGTTTATCAGATTTTTTGCTGACAAAGTAAAAACATGAAAAAAAAAGAGAAAAAATCCTGAAGAAAGAATTTTTCAATATACTGCTTGTGACAACTAAATAGTTCAATCTTAAGATACGATCAACATTTCTAAACATAACTATCATCTTCACAATCTAATTAACTCCACATAATTCGGCTTCACTTATTTCATGCCGTTAATCCTAGTTTTAACTTTGCAGCTTGTTCCTCCAATAGATTTTCATAGCTGTTAAAAGGAATTGTAACAGCTCTGTTTGCAAACTATATGACAGATATTCAACAATTTGCACTCCAGACATTGTTGCCATGGTGACTGTTGGCGACATGGTGACGAGTGCATTAGGCTGCGCATACGTGCTTGTCAAGTCTAACGATGCTTGAAGTGAAGTTTCTTTTAAAAAATGTGTGGAAGAACTAGCAGTGATTTGCTCCACTGCCTACTCATGCATAAGTGCCTTCATGCTTTTGTGCATGTGTTAATATATCAGTCGGTAGTTTTGTCTGGATGCCTCGAATGCATGCATCAAAGTTCAAGTGTGCTTATGTGTATGTTTTTAAAAGTTTTTATAGATGGATACGTAGAAAGGTGTGTTTGAATACTTTCCGTTTAGTATTTATTTTAGAGTTTGGAGTTGTTATATTCAGAAAAATTTGTTATAAATTGCAAGTTACATTTGTGTAAATGTTTATAAAAATGATTGATTATTGAACATACAAACAAATTTTGCGCCTTCCCCATGCTACATTTTTTTAAATTTTTGTAAAATGTGAATGGTAACAAGTGAAAAATGTTTTCAAATTGAAAAAAATTACGATGTATTTTTTAATCTACTTTTTCTTAATATTTTAAAACGCTTATTATGTTTTTCAATTTTGAAATTTTATAAAAAAAAAATTTTTTCAAGTTTCTGCATGAAACGTTAATGTGTTGGATGTTTTTTTTCTTTCAACAAGTCGGCTTGTCCTCATCATATGGTTGATGTGTTGAATCCATTACTTTTTTTGTTAGCGCTCTCTGCTGGGAGACGTAACATTGTTTCTGTTTTTTTTTATGTAATTTCATTTTGTTTACCGTCTCATTAGGATATTGTTGACTTTTTATTCATAACACAAATAAATTGTTTGATTGTTTGCTAGTTTTACAAAAATATTTTGTTAACTGCATTAAACATTAAATTATCTTGAGTAAATAAATAAAAATCTTGATTAAAAAACATACTTTTTATAGTTTTTAAAAAATTAAATCCCCAAATGATTGAATAACCGAGGTAAAAAAAATGGGTCTAAAAATTAAACTGAGCAGGTGTGGTTGTTTTTAAATTGCACAGCTCCTGGTAAACGTTAAAATTTGGCACTCACATAAGCAGGTACTTTTTTATATTAAACCTAAGTGACCAAACTAATCTAAGCGTAATGATAATAAATGGGAGATAATTTTGTTGATGATGAACATGACGACGATGACGGTGATGATGTAACCTTATTATCGGTGTGCTGATAATGCTGATAAATAAAATAATGGTGAAATAATGTTAATAGAAAAATGATAGAGATGATAACTAAAAATCTAATAACAAAAAAATGAAGATGATGATAACAAGGATGATGATGGTGATGATGATGACGATGATAGTGATGAAAACGACGCCGATGACGATGATGAAGAAGCTCATTATTTCACAAAGTAGCTTAACTCTGAGTAGGCAAATTATTTAAATTGCTCTAAAATTCACAAACTGCTCGTAGTTTCTAAGATTAAAAATTTTCAAAAAAGTCGCAAAAATTTAATTCAATTTTTAACATGAACGCTACTTAAATTTTCAATCTTTTAATTATTTTTTCAGAGGAAAGGCATTTGAAAAACATAGAAATGGCGTCAGAATACCTTACGGAGAAACTAGGTCAGCAATTTTTTTTTTCATTTTGTTAACTCAGTTTTTAATTAATTTAAACTATTAGGTACATCTTCATCACAGAATTACTTATCAAATTTTATCCTTAGTTGCAAAAATATTTTGTTTTATGTTTTACAAATTTTTTTTCCGAATAAATGTTTTTAGCTGTTTACAAAGTTTGTCATCAATCAACGCGGAATAATAAAATCGAATGAAAATTAACATTCATATAAATAACATGCATAATGTACGATGGTAAAAACTATTTTTAAAAAAATTGTGTTCTTCTCTCTGTAGGAAGAGCAACACTAATTTTCAATGGTATAAAGTGTTATGATGTTAACTTGAAAGATTTATAGGTTCATTTCAGGTCTCCACGAGATAGCAGGTTACAGAACAACAACTTTGTAAAGGGTATGGTCTTCTCAAATGCGTTCATAACTTTTAATAAATTGAAGATTTTGAACTTCAAGGCAGTTGATTAAAATACACCGCTGAAAATTTAACATTTAGTTTCTTATTATCTTTCTCACTTGAACTCAGAAATTTCTGACGTAAAATTAATTATAGGCTATAATTTTTCAATGAAATAATTTTTTAATTTTATTTATAAAATAATTTCCAAAAATTATTTAATAATATTTTGAGTGATGACAATGACAAAACATCAAGACAAATGAGTCTATATTGATTTTGTTCATGTTTTTGTCATTAGCTACTATTAATCCAGTTACGATATTTGAATGGTGTTAATGCGTTAACAGTGTTAAGTCGTCAATAAGATTGAGCTGTTTTTGTTTTGGCTGCTAAAAATAATAAGTTTGGCCACCTTTTAATAGCTTTTCAACTCGCGGCACAGTTTGTTTTCTATGAGCAAACATAGGCAGGATGCAGTTATACCGATGTTGTCAATCCCGTTCATCAGACGTACGTGTTCCATTTTAGGCTGTTGTTTGGGTTGTTGTTGTTTTGGCTGTTGTTGTTGTTTGAGTCGTTGTTGTTTTGGTTGTTGTTGTTGTTGTGGATGTTTGATAGGGTTGCTATATTAAGGACATGATTCTCATGTCCTTAATATATTAATTAATGGGTTGCGCCGGTTTGCTTAATAAATGTGCGATCGCTTTATCGATTACACTATGCAACAAGTTTTTTGCTACTCAGACTTTGTTAGTTGTTCTAGGGTAATTTGGGTATGCTGATTACAAATCTGCTATTCTTTTTGTCATAGGACGTCAGGTTATAAAGTTACAGCTAAAAGATTGTGAATTTTAGGTGCTAAATTAGTCCATTTTCAGCTGTGCTCAAGAATACTCAAAACCAAAACATATTCATAATCTGATTGTTTTTTTATTTATTTAAATCAAAATTATTACATAGGTAAAGTCTCAAAGTTAAATTAATAAAAATAATTTGTCGATAATGATCTTTTGCGCTTATATTGACTTTCACTTTCACGCTGTAGAAACCAACAGAAATCCCCCATCATGTTACTATCAAAACGACCCTGATACCGGTGTTCCATAACAGAGATTTCTTGATGGAATCTTTCTCCCTGTTCATCACTGACAGCTCCTAAATTGGCAGGAAAGAAGCTAAGGTGGGAATGGAGGAAATGGATTTTTAGGGACATTCTACAACCCATGTTTTGGTATGCCATTATGAAGTTTTCTACCAAGTTCACATAGTCTTCTGATCTGTGGTTTCCTAAAAAATTCTGAACCAGTGCCACAAACGCTTCCCAAGCCAGCAACTCCACAGGCTCTAGTTGTAATTTGAAATTTGGGTCACGAATAACTTCACGTATCTGTGGTCCAGTAAAAACTCCTGCAGCTATCTTTGCGTTTGTGAGAGTGGTTTTGAATTTATCTTTAAGATAAATAAATCCTTTCGAATCAGTAGGTAGCGCCTTGACAAAGTTTTTAAATATTCCTAATTTGATATGAAGAGGAGGAAGGAAGATTTTGTCAGGATTCACCAACGATTCGTGAAGAATGTTAAATTGTCCAGGTACCGGATCAATTCTCGCAGGCCAGTCTTTGACGAGATAGTGATTTGCATCATCACGACTGTTCCACAGACACAAAAAGCACATGTGTTTCGTGTACCCCAATTGCATCCCAAGAAGAAGAGCAACAACTTTGAGATCCCCACTGATATTCCAGTTGTGATCAGTGTACTTTATAACTTTAAGAAGTGTCTTCATAGATTCATATGTTTCTTTCATACCCACTGCATGGGCTACAGGAATGGATGGTTTAACATTTCCGTTATGTAGCAGAACTGCTTTTAGACTGACTTTACTAGAATCAATAAACAGACGCCAATCTACAGGATCATACTCATCATCCAATTTTGTCATTAATCCAGCAATGTCTACACAGTAACATATATTGTCCTCTTTGTTGTAAAATTTTGCAAATTCGGTGTGCCGGTCACGAAAATGGGATATTTTAGTTCCTCTGTCCAGTAAATTCCATTGCTGTAATCTAGACCCCAGGAGTTCTGCTTTATTTTTAGTTAACCCAAGGTCCCTTACCAGATCACTAAGTTCTCCCTGCGTGATCATGTGAGGTTTATCTTTGTCGTAATCTGGTTTGTATTCAACATCAACCTTTTCATCACCACTTTGTTCTTCTTTGCTATAAAGAACAGTGTCTGTAGGAGGAGTTGGAACAGGATATTCAACACTGTGGGGAACTGGTTTTATTGCAGATGAACAGTTAGAGTACACAATTGATGCTTTGGTTTTCTTAGAATGTCCTTGTATATTTGTCATGCAAAAGTAGCAGTCTGAATGGTGATCTCTTGGCTCACGCCATATCATTGGAATGGCAAAAGGTATTTGCTTTCTTTTCCCATTTAACCATTGAGTGAGACCTACGTAGCAAACACTGCAGCAAATATGTGGAGCCCAGGTTCTTTCTTGATCCGCCACCTTTACTCCAAAGTAATGGTAGTAGGCAATCTTTATTCTGTTTGACAAATTTTTTCGCTGATCACGAGGTGTAAATTGCCCACAAATATAACAAAAATTGTCTGGTTCATTCAAACAACTACGGTTAGATTTCTTCATTTTTATCACTGGATAAATTTAAAATTAATTTAAAATTGTATATTTATAATATAGTTCTGGAATAGTGTATTTATATAACAAAATTGAACAAAAAAAGAATAAAAAGAAGAGATGACTAATAAAATTTAAGGGAAACAAAATAGATTCAAAGAATAAAAGACAAAGATAATAAAATAGAACAAAGAAAAACATTTAGATATTTAAATTTGGTATGAAAAACTTGAAATTGAACATTAAATACAGCAAAATTTAAAAAAAATAAAAAAAAGAAATAACTAAAAAACTGTATGTGCTACAAAAATTCTGATTACATATTTGAAATCAGCATCAAAAACCCTATATGGATAATATAATTTTGCTCAAGTAGCAGACACAAAGTTAAAATTTGTTGTCTAGTGTTATGTTGTTATTTATTTGTTGATGTTGGCCGTGTCAAAACGGATTTTTGTTTGTGCAGTACGCTAATGAAGTTGCGGTAAATGTTGAAGCTGCTGAATTTATAGTTTCATTAATATTTGATAATTTGTTTACACCAAGTTGTCGTTGCGAACTTTTTATTCAGCAATATAGGCTAGTTTTTGCCAGCCAGAAACACACGAAAGATTCAATGCAGGTTCCAGGGACGCTGTGGATAGAGTATGAAGATGACGTTGCAAATGATAATGTAAATGATAAGATGATAATGATTGCAATGTTATTAGTGATAAAACAATGATGATAACATTATTTATAACGATGATAAGGTTTAATAAAAGAACAGTAAGCATGGCAACACATGAATGTTAAAAAAATTGGCAGAAACTTACAAATTACTCAACTCAAAAAGACAAAAGAAAAAATGTTCAAACAGTAACTTCCAACGTTTGATCATAAAATTAATAATATCGGGAAAAGTCAAACACGTAGATGATGGTTCTGGAGTGAGGTAGAAGAGGACTTAGATGGCAAAGATTATAGGAGGTGAAAATTATATTGTAATACCATTCACAATCGTGACATATGGAATGAAAACATCAATTATTAAATTATAAGTTATTTTAATTTTTGAAAACTTTTCGAAAGTTCTTCCAAAAAAATATATTTATCACCATGCAGTTTTTTGTTGACTAAATGTATGAATGCAATATTTGAGTTGGTTTGGTTAAAAGCAATGAAAGAATCGTCATGTTTGTTCACTGATGAAACAAAAAATGAGCAAACACCTGTTGGAAAAAGTTAAAAAGACAGCATACGTCATAAACAATCATTCCAACTCTAAATTTTTTCAGACGTTAACTAACCGGAAATGATTTTGAATTCATCCTGGAGCGAGTTTTGTTATTTGTAAGTTGAAAAACATCGAATAACAAAATAAGTAATGCAAAATCTCATTTCCTGACGTGAATGTAAAAAAATTCGCAACCAGGTTCAATAAATGACAAAAAATAAATTTATTTCGTCGTTCTTTATGATGAAAAACAAAATGAAAAATAACGGTAGAATAGAAAATAAAAAATTATTTATTTACAGAAAAGAACAAATGAAAATTAGAAAAAAACAGGCACCAGCCTGGCCTAATGAAGACAAATGCAAAATAAGCGGAAATAATTAAGAACTGTGCTAGCAAAACATTCAAATAAATTAGGAAACACGCTTGTTAGAAAAATTTTCATTCCCGTCAAATAAGAAAAAAAATATCATTCACGATAAATAAATAAACAAAGAAAATGCATTGAATTCAAACAAAGGATGGTATAAATCAGAATGTTAATTTCTTGCCCTGTCAAAGCACAAATCACGTTTTATATTTTCTAGTTTTTTATTCAAATTACCTATGTAAACATTGAACAATATATGGAAGTAAACAGAGTAAAAGCCAATGTCACTGACGAGGCAGATGGTTTGATTTATGTCATTATTTTATAAATAAAAATTGAGAGCTCAATAACAACAAATAAATAATTAACACCATGTTAAACGCCATTTCAAGTTGAAAAAGCATTTAATGGTATGCCTTCACAGTAAGCTAACTGACGTTTTAGCAAATTAAAAAGATTAAAATACTAAGCAAATATGTTGATGAATCTTATTTTCAGATACCAATTTTCGAGTTTTAGCTGTAAAACTATTTTTTGAGCCAAGGGAGAGAGTGTGCCTTTCTAAAAATGTACGGAGCCACCAAATAAAAGTAAAATTTTGAAAATGCAATAACTCGTTAGTTTAAAGATTTGTGTCTTAAAATGGATTGAATGTTTCGAAACCTAGGCTCTTTTCCTTCGACCTGTCGTTTTTTTATTCATGTATTTGTTCAGTTTTTCAAATAAATGTTTAATAATTTTTTTTCACTTAGTAAAATTGTCAAGTAAGGTAATATTTACGACTTTAGAGTTTGATTTATTGACAAAGTTTGAATTGAATTAAGTGCCTTACAAATCTTAATGTAGTACGTACGGATGGTAGTACCATAGCTTTGTTTGATGGAAACTTTTTTATATGTGCGTGTCATGTGTTATAGTTATCGAAAATAATTAACAAATTATAGATCAACGAAACTTTTTAACAACATCTGGCTCAGTGTGGAGGATTGCAATGATTGTTTGTTTATCATTCTGTTTGTTTATATGTATTCGATTCCGATTCATCTGTTTATCAAAAAATTTGTTATTCATTCGTTTCTTCGTCATCGGCTTTTATTCATTTATCTCGTTACTATCATCTCAATATGATAATTTAAAAAAAAGATTATTCTGCATTATATATGATGAGTGATGAGATAATGTCTGTACCTACATAAGATGCCCTACAAAACAGCATGCGGGCATTAGATAAATAGCTCCTGATAAAAACATTGACTTGCTTGTAAACAATAAAAAATATATGTATCAGTTTTCTGATGATATATTTTGAAATTTAGATATATAATTGTTTGAAATGGTTTTAATAAATGGTTGGTTTTGTGATTTTGATGTGATCAACAGCTTGTGTGTGTGTATTCTTGTGTCTTGTGTTTTTTTTACAAGAAACGATAGAAACTTTAATGTTATTCCTCACATTTTAATTTAACATTCGAACAACAGTAAGATTAAATTAAGTGAAAAAGTAGAAAACATTTTTTGATGAATGTTTTGAATTTCAATTATTAAATTAGAATTTTTTGGATCGGACATTTTTTGTTTAAAAAGTTAATTATGATACTTCATTTTTATGTAGTCAGATTAATAACTCCATATTATGTTCTGGGGTAAAAACCAATTTTTCAAACTTTTTAATTAAATAATTTGCTCCTGTCTTCTGTTAGTCTAGTATTTTATTTCATTTGTTTTATCACAATTCCCTATAATTTTCAACTATTTTACAAACCTACAAACTTAAATAAACATTAAAATTATTATTAATTAATTATGATTTTATTTAAATCTTCAAATATATAAATTTTCATTTATTGCTTGTTCATCGATTCACGTCCTTGCAAACACAAGATAACACTGATAGTTAGTTACCCATACACGACCAGCAGTGTTGATGAATAAAGTTTCTTATAAGCCTTTTAAAAGGCATCAAATGAAAATAAGACCGAATGTTTAAAGTAATGGTTTCGAATGTTACAAATCATCTCTTTTTGCCAATTTCTTACTGAAATTATACAAAAAATTATTACTTCGAATTAACTTATATAAAAATTACAAAAGTCCTAGCAGTTTAAAAGTTTATATTTTATAAAATTTAATTCAACCAAAGAGTTTTGTTGAAACAAGGAAACGGTTAATTTACAACGACAAGACAGATAACAAACTAATTTCAAGTCTTAATTAATTTAAAAAAATTTCACTCGCAAATATTTTGTGAATATTTTTGCAAATATTTCACTCGCATAACAAATGATGAAATAAAAAGCAAAAAAGGGTCAGTTAAGTAAGCACCTTTCCACTAATTAAATGCATCATGAAGGTGTCATTTTCATTCCAATTCCTACGTTGTTTAATTGGATCCATTCAATTTTTTTTATCTTTAAAGTAACAATAGAAGTAAAATATCCTCATTAAGGGTAATCGTACTTGAACGTGCAAATTGAGGAATGAACGAATGCATGAGTTTGAAACATATGTCTCAAGCAAATTCCTTATAAAAAAAACATTCAGAAATTTTCTACTAAATATTTCATAAAAAATATTTCTTTCTGAGATTGTCAGCCTAATCTTATTATCAATCATTGTCAGTTTATAATTAAATTTTTTATCAATTAAGAACTTTTTAGCTGTTTCAAACGGCTGACCTCAAAACTTTTTATTAAACTTGATATGTCATTAATTTTGCTTGAATGCATTAATTATTCAAACTGCTTTGTCCTTAAGGAAAAAATCCTACTCTAAAAATAAAAAAATTCTTCTGCAGACATGCGCATGAACGAGGAACGTTCTTTACTAACAAGCATTCCTTACAAAAAAATCAAGCCCAACTAGGCCCAAATAAAACAGACAAACATTGAAATAATAATTTTCTTCAATCGTGGGATAACACGCATGGAAAATTGAAAATAAACAACCTAACAAAAAAACGAGACCACTTTTTTTCATCCGTCTAAAATATTCTCACTAAAAATATTCTAGCAAACTGAAAACAACAAAAGAGTATAAATATAAAGAAACAATATCACGAAGGAAAGGAAAGGAAATTTAATTTATTGGAAGCACTTGAAAGAGAGCGCCAAGGTTCTCTGACTTTCAACTATCCAACATCAATTGAGCGTTAGTTGTTTCAGACGCAAAAACGTCGAAAATAGATATGTGCGAACTTGCAATAGGCTTTTTCTTTGCGTGTACGTGCAATTTATTTTGCTTTCATTTTCAAATTTGCCAAAAACATCATTGACAAGTGCAACATGTTAGTTTGCTTATGTCTTCGTACAGTTGATTATATTGTTTGAAAATTATAGTAAAGTAAGTGATAGAAAAAAACAACAAACAAATGGAAGCTCATAATCTCTACCGTCAAATTGTTGTAAAATAAACAAACGCAAATTT